AGCAAATACGACAATCGTGATGGCGATCTGCCCGAAGGACTTAGCCCGGCTTGTATGAGCTTCTCTTTGGTCACGAAGTTTTCAAACTTTAGCCCAAGCTTCGCCCAAGATTAGACTTCCTCCCGCGTCTGTTTGTCCAACATAGCGCTGGGGTCCTGAATGGCAGGCCTCCATTGAGTTGGAAATGGCCACCCCGCACTCTTGCGAACTACGAAGTAGCGCCTCTTCCAGGTCGGGACTTTGTTCGGGAGCTCGTGCAAGAATTTGTACTCGGGACGAGGAGACATGTAATAATTTCGCCTATGGTCGGGGAGAACACAAGATGAATTCTTTTTTATGGACAAGATCGAGGAAAAGGTATCGAGGTCCAAAGGCCGGTTATAGTCGTGGAAAAGGGAGATGGTACCTACAATATTACGGATCGAGTTGGGATAGAGCTGGTTTATGGCGACGCCGAAGAATTTGATGACCTCAACTATGAAAGGGTGAAGTGAGAAACGTAGCCTAGCTACGAGCTGCTCCTCGAAGATCACGATCTCGTCATGATCGTGATCACAAGGAAAATTACCTAAGGGAATGCTATACACAAGGCTGTAGGGCAGCCTGTACCGAGCTACCAAGGATAGGAGCCTGTCAGCCATCATCGTAGATGGGCCGAAGCTGTCCGATGCCCAACCCTGACGCAAAGTGTAGGATAGTTGACACTGAGCTAGGAGACTCGGACCCGATCTCAAGGAACTCAATCACGTGGTTTGTGGTGAGAAAAATGGGCCCTTTGGCCCCTATTTATAGCCACCGTAACCGAGGTTCAACGACCAAGATCTGCATGATCCAACAGCTCCTATGAAAACCGGCTGCACGCCACCCGAGGTTGAAATCAGTTAAGCGTGTGTTTTGATGTCTGCGGAGTTTATAAATGGCGTGACATCCGCGCATACCTGATACGCGATCTGGGTCATTTCTTGGTCGAGCCAAGCGGTCATATAGGTTCGACCGAACATCCACCCTCCGCACCATCTAGACATTGTGCCAAATCCACCTGGGTTCGTCATGAACTCCCCATGCTGGGTCAGGACCTCTGGCATGAGGAATGGGGGGAAATTGATGAGGGGTGATTTGGCCCGACCTAGTAAGTGAAGGACACATGGACACGACCTGCCAGCAGGATGACAAATCAGTAAGGAGAGACTTGTTAGCAGTTCGGGAGCTTGGGTGTTCGGGCACCTCGGTACCAAAGCCACTTCGGCACCCGAGTACCGAAGTGAGACATAATCGATTCCAGAAGCTTCTCAGCGGACTCTGAATCTCCCAGGATCACGCCGCGAAACAACAGGCCTTATCCTCTCCCCGCCCGAATTGAAAGATAACGATAAACTTCATTGACTGATACGTTACTCTCCTTCTAAAGCGAAACGGATCCCATCTACGCGGGTTGAGGATCCCAGAGCCGTTTCGTGAGACCCACGACAAATCAACTATATAAGGGCATCGACCCCCAAGACCCAGGTATGCGCGATTAAGTGCATTCTAGCTCTCCTATTTCTTAAACTCTTAGCTCACATCACAGTTATTGACTTAAGCATCAGAGCGATCTCGTCGGGTTAGCCACCCCGGGTTCTCTAATCCTTCTTTTCTTTGTAGTTCGAACAACCTACTTGGCAACAGACATTCGAGCTGCCCTACAGCTAGAAGCATCTAGATCGCGCACCATCACTATTTATATATTATTAAAATATTTTTATTATACATAATATTATTGAGACAGGCTTTTTAAAAAATGTCCAAACTCGACTTAAAAAATATAGTTTAAAACCCAACCCTGAACCCATAAACCTAAAATTTTATCCAAACCCAATAAAAAAATGGACCCGTCTAGGCCAATTCGTCAGGCTACCCAATCCACACACAGGTCTAGGCACAATGAAAGAAAATTCATAAAAAACTGCTTTTGTTTCATAGTCCATTTTGACTAGCATTGATTGACAGAAAATAAGGACCGTCCATTTAGTATAAGAATGGAGCTTCGGGCAGCCGAAAGTCATGATGGACGATCTGAGTCATATATTGCCGGAAGGGTTTGATTACAGCCCACAGGTGATCGGTTAAGTTTCTCCGGTATCATATATGGAAAAGTTATGATATCTGAAAAATAATTAACCAATAGTTAATTTAATAATTTTAAATTTTTAGCTTAAAGGAATCGTAAGCAAAAATGCGCATCCGGGGAATCGAACCCCGGTCAGTACCGTGGGAGGGTACTATGATACCACTACACCAGATGCGCTCGCTTGCTGCGTTCTGAAAAATAAAATCTTTAAAAACCTCCCCACCTTTTTATGAATGGATTGTACGCACCAACAAAACATATTGAATTTAACCTGTCCTGACTTAATGGTCTAAAGTATTTATTGGATTGGATTAAACCTTATCCATTCATAATGAATTTATATTGGACTGGGTTGGACTGAGCCAATATCTGGTCCATTTATAGAAGATAAGAATATAGGTATTAATGGATCAGGTCTGGGTTAGAATTAATCTAAATTAAAACAAATTTGAATAGATTGGATGGTCCAAAATGGTCCAGAATATTCATCAGAATGGATTGGACCTGGCCCATTTGTAATGAACTCACATTGGGCTGGATCGGATTGGACCAAATCCAGTCCAATTGACACCCCTATGCCAATCAACTGATCAAGGCGATTTACCATGCACCTAACAGACCCAGAGAACGAACCGATTAGGGGTCTAGTTCCCAGGTCGAACAATCGGTCCATTCTGACAAAAAAATAAAAAAAATAAAAATGGTCAAAACCGTTCGAACGGTTAACCACCCGAGTCAGTAGTTTGCTTACCAAAATCAACGGTTTTTGAAGAAAATCTGACTTTGGGGAAAAATGGAATCGGTCACCTGACCGGTTCCCAGTTTTACCGGTCCGGTCCAGTTTTGAAAACCATGCTTCAGATTGAATCCTGCCTGCACCAGAGTTTTGGGGGGGGGGGTTGTGTTTTGGGTGATGGGCTACCCCCTGTAGCCCAATGGCGCAAAACAATCAAGAGACACCTTCATGTTTCTTTGCAAACTACAAATTTACTTTTTGTAGTTAGGGCTGTCAATGGACCAAATATTGGTCCAACCCAGTCCCATCCAACATGAATCCATTACAGATGGACCATGTTCAATCCAATTCAATAAATATTTTGGACTAGACTGGTTCAATTCAATGTCTTATTGGACCATCCGACATATTCAAGTTGGTTTTAATTCAGATTGCATCCAACCCAAACCCGGCCCATTAACACCCTTACTCTTATCTTTGTCAATAGACCAGATATTAATTCTACTGGACCTGATCCAATATAAATACATTACAGAAGGACCAGGTCCAATCCAATCCAATAAATACTTGGGACCATTAAGTCTGGATCGGTGCAATTCAATGTCTTATTGGATCGTCCAACCCATTCAAATGGGTTTTAATTTGATGGAATCCAACCCGAACCTAGTCCATTGACACCCCTATTTGCAATACAATGTATTTGATAAATGAAAAATAAAAAAAAAGTTTTAAACAGTAACTCGTGAAAGAATATATATATACTCTACATATGTATAAACAGTGTATTTGAATTGGGCCAAATAAATGTACATACCCTATGCATACAATTACATCTACTTCTCTCCATACAAAGATATTATATAAACATGTCATGGAGCTTAGATCTGATGGGGTTCGGGTGGGCTGGGCTAGACTAACTTGAATGTTATCCATCTGAAAGACCAAGAGTTCAAATCTAAACTCGGGTTGGGAGGAGCTGATCCAAGTTTCCCATAATAGAGGGGTGCATCTTGTGTGGATTAAGGTTGGGATTTTGTCAAAATTCCAATGAATCCAACCCAAAACCTGAGCCCCAATCAGTGTAAAATGCTATTTTTTTTGAGAATGTGTAAAATGTTAATTTGGGCCTACCCAAATTGCATCCTTATTAGTATTTCACCATAAACGAATCACAAGACAAATAGTAACCTTTCCATGTCAAATTTTTGGGAAACCGAAGTAGCGAACTACTCAGTCTCTCTTAATCTCAGTTAATTTTGTATTGATGGAATTACGGATGTAGTAAAACAAAAGAACAGAGGACGTTCTTGTACTTTTCAGTTGGTTGGAAAATTAAGGCAGGACCAAATATCTGTAAAAATGTAGCTTTTATTTAACCAGTCCATAATCCATATGACAGGCACGAGAATCATTAGTCTATGTGAAAACTGAAAAAGTGAAAACACAATCGCCAATCCACCTTTGGTCGGGTGATTGGGGCACCTGCTTAGAAGGCCTCCAAATCTCCAGAGCGAAGCAAATAAATCTCTATAGATGATAAAATGAGAGAAAATAAATTAATATGTTTTGAAAACATGCACAAAAAATAAAAAATCAACATCGGTTAAAACTTAAAAAGTGATTTGTTATAATTTACAAGTACTAAATGGGTTAAGGACAGACAAAAAAGGACGTGGGTAAAAAAAATAATAAATGATTTAATCACTACTAATTTAATAGTGAATATAGCTTTAAATAGAACAGATTTGCGAAATAGGATTTATGTAACTGATACTGAGGGCAAGGCTTGGACAGCGACAATGACGGCAATGATGACTAAGATAATGTTTCTAAAGTGCAATTGTCCACACAAGTGATAAGATTCATCATGGTTTTGAAAATCAGACCAAAACAGAATCATTTTAACCGCCGGTTCCCAGTCAAATGGTCTGATTATCCGGTTCGAGCCTGAGCCACAGTTTTAAGGTCCAAAATTAGACCTGAACCCATGACCAGTTCCCAAGTCAATGGTCCAACCATCCAGTCCGATCTGGTTTTCAAAAGCATTATCCTCGTATTGCTTCCAAATCACATCCCTGTAAAATTGTTTTTGAATTTTTAAAAATAAGAAATTAAATACGGTATTATACTATTTATAAAATAGAGTTACTCAAGTCAAACTCCTCATATTGCTTGGCATCTCCTTTATAAATTTGTGATTTTTTTGAATTTTTAAAAACAAAAAATTAAATACAGGGCCATTAATTTGAAGCTCACCCGCAACTAATTAAATTGAGGAACTGAATGTAACATTTGGGCATATTTTAACACCCGCCCGTACATTGCACGGACCTCTTTAATAACTTCAATAGAATAGTGAAGCCCTGCAAGTGTTGCGACTTACAAGTAGTTTCTCAAGTCCCAAATCACAGCGCCTCGCCTCGCCTCGGTGTCAAACCTGTCTTCAGCTGCATTCCGGTTGGTACGACTGAGTTCAGGTTATATGGAGTGATTTGGCTCACCCGTTCTGACTTCTGATCCAGTGTTTGCCCATCCCTATCAAAAAAGCAGAGTCAGTTCTCTTATTCTTGTCGGGAACATGAATCAGCATGTCAAACTTGAACGAGGTCCCCTCCCTGAGTTCCTGGTACTTGAGTAACCCAATTCAAAGATACTAATTGCTTGAAAATTTAAAACGACGACTTTGGCTAATTTTATCGGTCCGGACTCCCCATTAGCTGAAACTGATGTGTTAGGGGATGTATAGCTAAAAATAACACCCGCATCAAGTGTACCATTCTCAACCTCTCTTCACATGTTGGCTGACGTAGGATGTTAAAACTGGGGCCAATCCCGAATAATGGTCAGTTTTTTCCCAATCTTAAATGGGAATGAGAAAAATATTTTTACCCCGATTTGGAAATAGGGTTTGTATATAATTCTCAAAATCCAGTGATATATTAGTAAAATACCCCTAGATTTAATATTAATTTTTATAATATCTCTAACTTTTCTTCAAATTCTTAAAATCCTAAAGTCCCATAATTCCTTTTCTAAAGGACCCCCAAATTGTTATAATTCAATTTCTAAAATACTCTTAAATTTCCATAATTCTATTTGTAAAATATCCATAAATTATATTATTTTTAAGTGATTGATCAAGGTGGAGAAAATTCAGGGGTTCCTTATACCCGATGGATAATGAATGCTCCACCATGAACCTGCCTGTTGCTGGGGACAGGGCAGAGTGCCTTGGGGTGCCCCGCCATTGCTACTTATTATTGGTTACACAACCCAGAGAACGGCCATATCAAGTTCAGCTAATCCATGCTCAATTTTGCCTGAATTCAATGTGAAACAACCCGGGGAATAAAAAAGGTTAGGTGTTAGATTGGGTTGAAGGTCGGATGAGGGTATGGTTTGAAAAATATCAGTCCGATTTAACTTGGGTTGCGTTTGGGGAGCCTTGATGTTTCAGGTGAACTTAAAGCCTCTCACATTTCTTTCCTTGAGCAACCCAAGCATTCCAATGCATAGTTGTCCTTGACATCTGAACGATTAACAGGTGGAGAAAATAATAAATAGATACCTGATAGGCCGATACTTGCTTATTTCCCAATATCAGTGCTCCAACATAGAATTTGAGGAAAGCGGAGGGAAAGCTTCTTGGTTGCTTACATGGCTGCGGTTGCAAAGTTTGCCTACGTTCTCACCAGTCACCGCACTAGATTTTGACGTGCATGGATTAAGATTCCTGGAGCCATGCCCTTTCCTAGGTGGGCCTTGGCTTAATGTTTAGGCTTCAATAATTTTGCTGCTAATCTTCCTCTAACTGTTCTAAGATCTTGACGATGGCCTGCTTTTCTCTTTCGTGTCTTCCTTCTATTTTTCCACTTTTCTAAGCGCTTGCGACGGATCTCAGGATCAGCCCAGCCCCTTCTCCAGTCTGAGAAAGAGCAATTAGATTTGCATTTTCTCGCTGAGAGCAGCATATCTGCTTCAGGGTAAACATAGAAAGTTTGCTCTGTGTCTGACTGCAGAAACCCAAGTCCCAACTTTGTTGGCTCTGGGAATTTTATACAAACCCGTGTCTGCAGAAAGAATTTCATTTCAAACAATCAGAACAGAGTGACTACAGCTGCTTGTAAAAACATAGAAATCACATACAGATATGGATGCTTACATATGCACAACCACGCATTTCTTATGAAGAATGCAAGGGTTTCTTTGAAAAACACTTACTAATACCAGAGAAGAGTTAAAAAAGGAGTACGGCTCAATAATCTGAAAATCATGCATGTCCAAGTGGAATGGCAGAGCAGGATTAATGTAACGAACCCCACATATTTGGGGCCCTTAGTTGAGTTATATGCATATCCAAAACTAATCATCTTTTATTTTATTTGTGGGCATTAGGTCAAACTATAAGAGGAAGTATGCTTCGAACCAGGGAAAACAGAATGAAATAAGGGAAAACAAACGCTTCACTTTCTTGAAAAAATCATTCTTCCTAGATGCGTGTAAAACACTTCCTGCAATAAAATCAACTTGTCATCATGAGCTATTCATAGCTGAAACATGACTGAGCATGTATGCCTACAAATACATGGTAACCTGAAAATTAATAACATAACAGAACAATTTTGTATTTTCATAATTGATAACTACTGAATCAACAAAAAATAAAATTAAATAAATAAATTACGACTACTAAGAGCATCTGGAATGCAAATATATAATCACTACGAAAACAATTCATGCATTTGCACTTCATGCAGAAACCATATATTCCTCGTACTACATTTTAATCGTTACTTCCTCTGTGCTATGAAAACATCTATGGAAAATGATATCAATAGTAACTATGCATCAAAATAAAAGAGAAAATATTAATGTGGTTTTAAGTGCAAACCATGCCATCTCCTTCTTTTATATAGCCCCTATCTTCTAATATGCGAGCAAGACCTTGCCACCACAGTCGATCACTTGCTGCAAATTTGTGGTACTGTCCAAAAACGCATCAGTAAGAACTATGTTTTTTATTTTTTTTTTGGTATGAATAATGAAGAAATCAAATAATCTGATTTTTTTTACAGGCAATTATGACAAGAAACTTGAAAGCTGTAGAGAAGATGGGCCGAATGGCCCATAGGCTGTTTATCCTTCTTTATCTTTTATGTTCTTTGCTATAATGGGCCTTATTCTGGGCCTATTCTTTCTATGTTATGYTCTTTTAATTTCTTGCCCAACTAAGGGCCTCTTTGTAAATTATCAAAGTTTAACTTAATAAAATTGTGTTAGGGGTGTAAGAGTAGAGATGAAGGTTCGAAACTCTCTTACTCTAAACCCTTATTGCCGCCATCTTCTTCTTCATCTTCTCTTCCTTAAAAGAATGATTTCTGTTGTTTTATTTTGATTTCTGCATCTGTTCTAAACAGTCCTTTATTCTCAAAAGACTGTTTTTCTTCTTGGTATCAGAGCAGGTTCATTTTTCCCTCTTTTTCACATTTTTTCCCATACACAGTGTGTATGGAGAACTGAACCGTACAGACTGTTAAAGGACTCGGTTCTGCCCAGTTGTTAGTGGTTTCTGGAGAGAAGAGGACTGACTGTGTCGCCTCCTTGGTTGATTCTAGTGTACTGCCCGAAACCCTAGTTTCCTAGAGAAATCTGTTTGCGAGCTCCGTAGGGTGTTTGGACTGGGTGCTCAGTGTTTGGAGGTTTTCTGATTTTCTTTCTTGAAGACCGAACCAAGTTGGTTAGTGTTCCGTGTAGTCTACAAGGTGCGGCTTCTGTTTCTGTTTCTCTCAGCTTCCGGGTGTGACTCAGATTTGTGGTACTGCTGCATTGAGGTAGGCTTAACACAGTCCTTGTTCCATCTTCATTCAGTGTCTTTTGAAGTTGATTGAATTTTTTTTTTGAAGTGTTTAAAGAGATGAACTCCTCAGAGATTGAAAACAAGAATGTTGCTGAATCCGGGCAGGTTCTAGGAGCCTCTGTTGACTCTTTATTGACTGTGACCACAGTCAAGCTGGATGGAACTAATTATCTGGCATGGTCACAATCGATAAAGATTCATATCTATAGTAGAGGAAAGTGGGGTTTTATCTCCGGGAGTAAAAAGGCTCCCTCAGAAGATGATCCATCTTATGAGAAGTGGATGCAAGAAAATTATACTATTATTGGGTGGCTTGTGAACTCAATGCAGCCACAGATTAGTCAGCACTATTTGTGGATGAACTCAGCAAAGGAAATCTGGGATAGTGTTGCTGAAACTTATTCCCAAAAATTAAATGTAGCTAGAGCTTACAAGTTGAGAAGTGATGTGAAGAATATAAGACAGGGGGAGAAACCTTTAGCTGTATACTTCTCAACACTGAAGTCTTTGTGGCAAGAAATAGATTTGATAGATTTGATGCAGAGACCTACAGAAAACTGGTTGAGAGAAACAGGGTGTTTGAGTTCTTAACTGGACTAAACCCAGAGTATGATATTACAAAACAAAATATTTTATCCAAGGATAGTATCTCA